ATGCTCAATGAAACATAGATTTAGTGAATGCTCGTAATTACATTTTTGCCTCTTAGTGGGCCACTTTGTTCAATCTTTGATTAGGAGCTTTTGATTCATTTCCTTAGCCATTTTTGGGACCAAGAAAAACGTAGGAGAGTGAGAGAGGAGAAAATTGAGTTCAACAAAGTTTTGGCTTCAAACTTGTAGAATTGTAGAAGAATTGCATAATTTGAGCTCCTAAACTTGAAATTGAAGACATAAGGTAGAGAATTCATCTTCTCCATTGTGATTTTGATTTACTTCTTGCATGGTTCATGGTGAACTAGAGTTTAGAGTCAAGTTTTGGTTCTAAATGTTGAATTGAGTAGGAATTCTTGCATGCATGTGTATATCATGAAGTTTGAGGTTGTTTTCATAGAAATTCTTGTATGCATGTCCACATTTTTGTTATAGTCCATGAACTCACCATGTTTTGAAGTTAAGTCTTTCATTTGTTCTTGTTTTAGAACTTTGGAGTTTCAAGGAACCCATACATGTATTGAATTTGCATTGTTCTTCATGTTCTTGAAGTTTTATTTGAAATTGTGTTCAATTGACTCACCATTGGGTTTTGATTTTACAAATTGATCTTTGAAACATCTTATACTATGAGTTTACAAATGTTTTCTAGAAAATGGGCCCAAGAGGTCGAGTTTTGAGGTGTTGAATGCTTGGTTTGAGCTTGGGAGGCAAATCTGGAAATTCCAGAATTTGGTTTCCTCGTTTGAGCGAAGGATTCCACGCTCGAGCGACCATCGTTTGTTCAGAGCTCCGCTCGAGCGAAGGAATGGTGGTTCGAGCGTAAATTGCAAGCTCTCAGGTTTTTGGTACACGCAGACGCACGCTCGAGCGACGAGACCTACGCTCGAGCGAAGAGCTGTGTCTCACGCTCGAGCGAGCATCAAGCGGGCATCGAGCGTAAATTTTCAACAACCAGTACTTTTGCATTTTTACAGACCGCTCGAGCGAAGGAGTCTACGCTTAAGCAACCCCTCTGTTTTGGCAAGCTCGCTCGAGCGAAGAAAGCCACGCTCGAGCGAGACCCCTGTTTTCAACAAGTTTTGAAAAATATTTTCCAAGGCAATCTTTGCATCCTCATTCCATCCTAGGCATTCTTAGGCCATGTTTTAGACCCCATTATGAGGATAAAAGATTAGAAACACACTAAGAGCCAACGAAATAAGTTTTGTACAATTAGAACGTGTGTTTCAAGTGTGTATCTGTTATGTGTTATGTAGGTCACGTGCCACGTACCGTTTGACCAAGTTTACTCCGTCTGTCTCACTCAAGGCCCACTGTGAGTAATAACTCTGTAAAGTTATGTTTAACCTATGTATTTTCTGACTGGTACGATATAATCTGTTTCTTGAAATGATATCTTACGAATGATGAATGAATGTCCAATTTTCTGAAAAGTATTTGTGGCACCCTTAGTTCACGTGGCCCTCGCCCGGGGGTAACAATACCGCGGCCAATCTGCACGTGACCCTTGCCTGGGGTAACAATACCATGGCTACTAGCGCAAGTTATGGACCTTTATGGTCGTTGGTACCAACTATGTATGTGGGTCTCTGGACCAGTCTGTTCTGATAGCTAATGGGTGTACCACGTATGATCTTATGCAAAATCTGAATATGAAAATGTATATGAATCTGTTTCTGTTTAAAGTCTGATTATGTTCTGATTTAAATACTGGATTCTAACTTGTGATGGACATCATTCATATAACCCCTTTACCTTGTTATTATTCACTGGGCTTTCGCTCACAGTTTATATTATGTATGTAGGTGAGTCGGCACTTGACCAGGGCCAGAGTTGACGGCCCTCTGTACCGTTTTGTCAGCCAACCCTTGTGCCTCCCGAGGAGGTTCCGATCGAAGTTTAACGCCAAGGCTGTTTTGCATTCATGCTAGTCTCTGTATGTGTTGTAAGGACAGGTCTTGGGATGTAATTACTTTGTAAATATTAGTGTCCTTGACTAGCATGTTTATATATCTATAAGTAAGTTTTGAAATGTTCTGTCCCACGTACGTTATCACAGCTCATTGGACCTTGTCTATTTTGTATTATTGCTTCTGCAGCCCCTTATTATTTGCTAATCTGTTCAGAGGCCTTTGGTAATCCACGGATTACTGGCCGGTTACGGTGCTAAACCTACAGGGGCGGGTTTGGGTCGTGACAATATCCCAACAAGATTTCCAAAATGACAAAAAGGTTGAAGGCTGCTTTGGTTGACTCATCCATATCCATGAATTATTAGGTTGTAAATTTCATCTCATAAGCCATGTCATGATAGATAACCAAGGGTAATTATTCAGTAATTTCAGAATATAATCAAGTGGTATTTTATAGCATTGTGATTGATGGAGAATGTGGATAGGTAGGATATTGTGTTGGGTGATTGGGGATCATAAGGGGACATATTGAGGGCTATTTTGGGAAGTGGGTTAAAAGCCACTTCCCAACTTTTAACTCACTTCCCTCTCTCACAAAAAAGTCAAAAAACAGCTTTTAATCATCTTTCCAAAACACCTCTGAATGATGATTAGTTAAGGATTACAGACACGTGATACTCTGAAAATATTGAATAATTTCCTAATAGGCAAATAAAGATGTCACCCGAAATTTTTGTTACTTTCCATTTTATTCTATCCTCACCTTGTTTTTTGCCCTATGAAAATGGGAAAAATTTAAAAACCAAAGCAATCTATGATAGAATTGTAGCAATTATTAGTGACAAATCTTTTAAAAATAATTTGTATTCAATACACTCTCTCAAGTTACATTTTAAAAAAAATAACGTCACCAAATAAATTTTAATTTTTTTTTTTATCTCTTACATGTATTATTTTGGGAGCATTACAGCATAGTAGGAATAAAAAAAAAAATTTACAAAAACATACGAGGTATACATAATTCTATGATGGAATGCATGTAAAATGATATGACTCCATGTTTGTGTAAAAAAAAACACTCTATCCCGTTGGAAAGTAATTCCCCCTATTATTTTTCACACCACAAATAATACATGTAAATGTAAGACATGTCTCCATATCTAGAGAGGAAAAAGGTGGAGATCTCATTTTTTCTTGACTCTCACCACCCCCAATGCATTGGAATTAGCTAACTTTTTGTTTTTGTTTTTATTTATCCTCTTATCACTCACTGACATGTGTTTATGAAATTTGTGGAGGTCAAGGAAAAAAAAGGTCTCTATCATTTCTGATCTAAAAGATAATGATATCCACCAAACTCAATAATTGGTGCAATAATTGCATTTAGGGTTTGTTTGGGAAGTGGATTAATTTTTTGACTTTTTAGCTTTTTTAGCCTGGGACTAAGAAGTTTCGTTTATGAAAGACTTTTTGGTTTTTTTGTAAGAGAAAAAATGTAATGATTATGATTTGTATGTGATATTTTGTCTTATTGGACTAAAAAATCTGGCCTCGTTTGGGAACCCTCCATTTTAGCCAAAAAGTCAAAAAGTTACTAAATTAGCCAAAAAGCCAACAACCCATACCAAAAGGTCAAAGATTCTCTTTTCTCTCTACTTTTTGCACATCTTTTCGTAAAAAGTCAAAAAATCATCCCAAACATACTACTTTTTTTTAGCTCATATTTTAGCTAAATAACCAAAAAGTTACTAAATTAGCATGTTCCCAAACAAAGCCAAATGTCTTTTTGTAGCTAAAATAGCCCCAGACCCACCCTACTCATTCTGCCCAAACGAAGCCTAACCAACTTAGGGTTGTTTTGGAAAATTAATTAAAAATTGATTTTTTGATTTTTTTCGGTTTTTAAAAAAAAATAAAAAAATAGAGAGAGGTGATATAACCTTAAAAAGTTTAAAAGCCAAAAAATTAACTTTTAACCAATTTTTTTAATTTTAAAAAAATTAAAAAATTATTAAAAAAATCAATTATACAAAATAATCATTTATATTTTTTCATAAAACTAAAAGCAATTATCTTAATTTTTTTTTCTTTATAAAAATTAAAAAATTACTAAAAATCCAAATCTCAAACCTACGCCTCAATAATTAACGACTTCTATTAATTGGCATTGGCTTGCTTCTTTCTTTTCCTTTTTTTTTTTAAATATATCAGAGGCCATAGCTCTTTGCAAGAGAGAATTTGAACCCTTGACTTCCTAAAGCTTTGTTTGTTAATGCTTTCCTTTTTCTTTTATTTTTCGCTTTCATTTCTTTTGGTAAACTTCAAAAAAAAAATTTACATATTATTTTAGTTTTTTAAAAAAACATAGTATTTTTTTTTTTTAATTTTGCAAATTAAAAAAGATTTTTTTATTTATTTTCAAAATAAGTTTTCACTCTCTCCACTCCACCCTCCCTCACCACCTCTAGGCACAGCCAGTCAAACAAGTTTATCTGTTTTTGTTTATATTTGTTTTCAAAACATTTAAGTAGACCTCATAATTTTTTTGTTTTTATTATTTACACCCAAAAAAAACTTGTTTCTTATTTTTTATAAACAGAAGTCAAGCAACTATAACAACAATTCTGACTAAATTTTGTGCATTATTTAACAAATTTCATATTGGAATGGAGACAACAGAAGCTAAAATGCTGCATCATCATTGCTACAAGCAGGGGGTATTGACCTCTGCTTAAATGAAATAAAAAATAATATGTGACCTTAGACCATACTCAAAGTAAAATTATACTATAATTTTAGAGTGCTATATACCATTTTTCTAGTTCACTGATTGATGTAGAGACATGTATCCCACTTTCAAATGTCATGCAAAGAAACTAAACTTAGAACAAAGAAACTAAACTTAGAACATCTTACCCTATGATCTCACCCAAAATCACAAAGTCACACTTCAGATAGAAATTGAAGGAAAGACAATTCAACTATATATGTGTGTGTGTGTCACTCCAAGTCTCCAACCATTGGTTTGTTTTGAGATTTCATGATGTCATTTGACTTATTTCTCTTCCCTACAGAAATTTTTTGAACAGTTTCAAGAAGCATCAAGTAAATTTCAAATCACAACCTCACACTAGATAATTGTTTCTCTTTATTTTATTCGATAGCTTCTAAAATTTTTATTTTTATTTTTTTATGTACATTGAGAAGAGGTTCGAACTTGTAACCACCTAATAGGTACATAGATTCTAGAGTGGTTTAAATCACATTCAATCTTGTGATCTCTTGGTAAGACATACGAGTCCTATAGTGATTAAAAAAAATTTAATGTTTTATAAATGCTACTTTTCTTTTAACCTTAATTGGAGAGTTTCTAAAACCTTACTTTTTCTTGGAAGAATGTTAGAGACTTGCAAGGATCACACTGGTGGAACACAAACAATATATAGGTGCACCACTCTTTATATGTGGATCACTTAGAACAAATACATACATCAACATGAAAGTCACATTCGATTTAAGAATAAAAGAGGGAGGTATGGCTTGCACTACATGGAATGAGATTAGCAATACCATAGAGGCATATGTTTGTTTAGGTATACTGAATTAGATGAGATATGGTTAGGTAAACTGAATTAGATGGGATTAGTATTCATAGGATTGTTAGTTCTACAGATTTTAGATTGTGTATCATATCCTGTGTTTGGATTGGTCTAGAATTACGAGTGATTGATAAAATCCTCAATTTTGTAGTCAAGTAATCCAGGATTATAAGGGATTGATAAAATCCTCAATAGTCCATCATATGGGGATACCATGTCCCAAACAAACATGATCATATGGGGATATCTCACCTTGATGAGTGTGGATTCACAGATTGTCACCCAAACTTCTATATTTAACTCTCTCTTTTTCCCTTAAAAATAGAAAAAATAAAAAGCGAGGTATGGTGGACAAGCCTGGCTACCAACTCACCAAAGTTGCAATTGCTCATTACCACATTTCATAATTAAAAGTAAAGCTACACCAAACGAAATATATATAAAAATAATATACATAATGATATGGTTAAAATAAGACCTATCTCGTAAAAAATGAAGTGTCTATCGACCTTTTACGGATGGAGTGACAGTGAACCAACTCAAAGAAAGGGCAAGGGTACAGACAGAATGAGACACATCAGAAAGAACTGAATTCGATAAAGCATCCTCAGATTCATCTGTTGAAAGTATACCCTGAAAGCTACAACCCCAATTCGGTTCAACATAAAGCCATATATAAACAAGAAAACTAGTTTATTTCACGATGCAACCAAACCAACACAAAATAAAAAAGCTTCTATGCACACATCCATGCCATAAAAACACAATTACATGGCATATCAAACACTTTCATCAACTCATGTTGAAGCCAGCATTCATTTGATGGAGCCACTCCTTCCACCACCAACGTTTGACGCCGTTCTGATCTTGATCTTAGCACGATTGATAAAGCTACCAACCCTATCATTAAAGCTATCAAGTCTCAATCACTCTTTCCATCTCCAACACCAACATTCGATGTACTTCTAATCGTAGCTTTAACACGATTGATATAATTAGAAAACTTATCGTTAAAATTTTCCAGCACCGAGTTTTTACCTTCTTCTTTCACAAAGTATTGTTGACCCACTTGCCCATTCTTTCGAATGGAAGCATTTGTTTCTGTTGTCTGTTCTGGAGTATTAAAAACAATTGGAACTTCTTCATAACTAACTTCATGAGTTGTCGTCTTCCGGTTAGTTGCCACAGTGAGGAAGTTTGTATTTGTTTGGAATTGGAAGTATGAGAGCTGCTTACGATTGAGGGGTATGTAGAGAGAAAGAGATGCAAATTATGCAGTTTAATAGGAGGGAAATTCAAACTCATGAACTGTTTTGTTGCTTTGGCAGATTTCGACTAGGTAGCCTTGTGGTATTATTATTCTTGTGTGAAAGCTAAGTATGGTACTAATAAATTAATGAGTATTCATAAGGGGAATTTCTACATAAATTCCTTTTGGTTACTACTTTTGCTGTCCAAATAATTAATGAGTAATATAATGGTTTGGGATTTTGCAGTAAGAAGAATAATAATGGTTTGGGATCATATTCCAACTTTTGCTGCACTTATTTTCTTTACCTAGAATTATCTAAAATCTATCCTAATCATTAAAGAAGTCATCAAGGGATTTATTACTTTTTAGCTGTTTCAAACAACATTATCATGCTGCTTCAGAAAAAAGAAAAAAGAAATGAAAAAAAGAACTCACATGACTAAATATATACAACAAGATTCTCTAAGGGCGTAAAATTCTGACAATAACAATCTTATCTGTAAGAATCTCTTAGATGGATAATTAATTGGAAATTATTGAGTGGATAACAGTTGTGCGGGGTCCACAAAAGTCATGGGATCCACTGGAAGTGAGCTAAAGTGTCAAGCAATGACTAGTGCATAGCATTAGCTAACCTGTGCCACATCGTGCTCCAAGAGTATCTAATAACTTGTGGTAAAGTAACCTTCTCGCTACAAATGCCCAACTTCTATTTTTGTACTTGACGGAGTCACCTCTGAGGTGTACCTGAATGCATTCAATATCAAATTTACTTCAAATTCTAAGAATTACAACTACGTTCAGCTAAGTAAAGTAGCATAGATGCGGATATGCGTGACATGACACAACAAGATGCTGGCATGGCGATTTTCAAAAAATGTAGAGAACACGATACACTTGGGACAAGTTAAAATTTTATAATTTTATAAATTTATTATGTGTCAAACATTCCATAACTTAAAACATCAAGATATCATTCACGTAACAATTGCATTACAAAAAATATAAAAACAATTATAAAACATTGAAATATACATGATGTATTCATCTTAAACAGGGGCAGAACAACAATTGTATCACTAGGCAGTCCATTCCTCACAAACCGAATAACCCAAATTGCATATTAAACAAGGGCATATCAGCCATAATTTAATGGACTCTGTCAAAGACTTGTAGAATATGCAGACCTAAAAAAAATAATTCCTATTAAGAATCCTAGTCTCTTCGTCTTCTCTCTCCCTGCATAAATTATTGCATATTTTTCTTTTCCAACATAAAAATAACAGGCAGACACATTCGAGTGAAAAATCATGACTTTTGGGGGTGTTGAGAGCTTTGCCAGCTTTATTAGTATATTTATTATGGGTAAATTACACTAACCAGCCATCAGGTTTGGATAAAATATCAAGTCGCACAAGTTTCAGATAATTACATTGGGCTTTCTTAAAGTTTTAATTCACATAATATTAAACCCCCTTCTCTTTAGTAATTTGTTCATTATCTTCAACCTTAAATGAACTGGCTGCTGGCCATACGAATGTCAGGGGAAAAAAAAATACTAACAAATTAATTTTGAGGAGTTGAAGAAAAAGGTGGCGTTGGGTTTTACTATCCACTTGCGGGCAAAAATATCATTCAACAAGCTCACTATGGTGACAAAACAGTGATTCATGCCCAGACCCAGTGAAAACAGTGTGTTGCTTATGCTCTGTTATCTCGTATAGAAACTGTTCATTTTACACTTCACTCCAAACCACACGGCAGTTATGAGTACATTTAGAGGATTATGTGTTTTCAGACTAGTAGGGGAAAATTAGGATTGGGAGTTGTGCAGCCGTAATTGTTGACTTTTGGTGAATAGTGTTAACTTTTTAACTTTTTGAGTAACTTTTTGACTTTTTGACTTTTTTTAAAGTCCCCAAACTTGGCCTAAACTGCAAAGAGAAAAATGTAATTCACCCTTAATTACAATTAGCGACCATTGATTTGGACCTATTGGAGGTCGTCTCTTTTGAAATAAAAATTAAAAAATAACCGTGGTGACACTAGTCAAATGTTGAAAACAAATTAATACTTAACCAGGCCCGCCCATCTGGCCTAAACTTACCAGTCAACCCACACAACAATTGGGCTGGCCAGCATGATAGTTCTAATGAACTCAGTCCGCAGCCAATGGCCACAAGGTTGCACTCAAAAGCATCTTCTCTAAGAAAATATCTCAGGTGAGGGGGTTGTCAGAATAAGCAAACAATTCATAGTTTATTGATCTTCACTTTTAAGGTGATCCATCCCTCCAAAGAATTATCACCAAAAACAAAATCCTCCAAAGAAGGGTTCGGGGTTTGCACTTTATTAGTGGCAAGATTTTTTTGTAAAATAATTTTCTACCACTCTATTCTGAAGCATGGTACGAGAAATTGTTTTCAATTGTTAAAATTAAGAATAATACTATACAAACGTTAAAATTATAAAATGAGACCAATCACTTAAAAACATAGTGCCTATCTCGACATTTTATGGATGTTACCCTGAAGCATCCATAAAGACTACCCTGAAAGAATTGATTGGATAAAGAATCTGAGTTACAGCAGATTCATCTGTTTACAGTCTGATTTCAGAAAACCAGTGTATTTCATATAAACTTTATGCTATAATATATAAGAACATACAAAATAAGCAACCAACCAACACATAGTACTAAACTTACATGCACACATGAACACATTACTCACAATCATCAAAACCAACATTAATCATGATATATCAAATGCTTTCCTCAACTCATGATGCTCTGCGCTTATTCGTGGTCTTTGAAGCTAGCATTCATTTGATGGAGATGCTCCTTCTGTCACCAACATGTGATGTCGTTCTGATCTTAATCTTTGCCTGGTTAAGATAGTTAGTGACCTTATCATGAAAGCTATAGAGTCTCAATCATTTTTTTCCACCACCACCACCCTCACCAACATTTGATGTAGCTCTGATCATAGCTTTAGCACGATTAATATAATTAGAAAACTTATCATTAACCATTCTGGGTAAACTACCAATAGCTCCTAATAGCTTGACTTAATTCCCATCAAGTCTTATTGAAAATAAGTCTTGATAATATTGTCGTTAAAAATAATTTTTTTATGACAATTTTTTACATACATCACTAAAAATTGACAATTAGCGACTTTTTTTCGTCATGATTTTTATAAATTGTCGCTAAAACTTACAATTAGTGACCTTTTTTTATGACAAATTTTTCACATAGGACCTATTAGACAATAAATCCACTTATTAGGACCTACACGTAAGTACCCCTAACATTTTCTGGCTCCAAGTTTTTGCCCTTCTTCCGCATTAGATTGAGGTGGTGGCTCATCGTCTTTCACAAAGTATTGTTGCCCCACTTGCCCATTCTTTTGAATGGAAATATTTGTTTTCGCTGTCTGCTCTTAAGTATTAAATACGATTGGAACTTCTACATAAATAACTTCATGAGTTGTCTTCTTTTGATCAGATGACAGCAGCAAGAACTTGGAGCAGTGCTAGCGGCTTTCGAGCTTTGTGGGGAATGCAAAGTGTGATGAATTGTGTTGTAAATCCTTTTAGACACACCCTCAGAGTTCATGCTGGTTGGGTTAGTTGCCATTGAAGCGTGAGCTGCAATGGGCAAGATGTATTTGCTTGGAATTGGAGGTATGAGAGCTGCTTAAGATTGGGGCGTATGACAACAGAAAGAGATGTGAATTAAGCAGTTTAATATGGGAAATAATATGGGGGCTAGCTAGATGGTACTGTCCTTGTGTAAATCTAAGCATGGTATAATAAATGAGTACACAAAGGGAGAATTTCTACCAATATTCCTACTGGCTACTTTAGCCGCCCAAATAAATTAATAAGTAATATAATGGTTTGGGGTCTAGTAGTATTAAATAATAATGGGTGTTTCGGATCATATTCCAACTTTTTCTGCCCTTCTTTTCTTTATCTAACATTAGTATCTAACATGAATTCTAATGTCAAAAGAAGTCATCAAGGAATTTAATACTTTTTAGTTGTTTCACATAAGATTATCATGTTGCTCCAGGAAAAAGGGACGAAAAAAAAAGAAAAGAAAAGAATGAAATAGTGAACTCACGTGACTAAATATTTACATCAAGGTGGGCACCATATTCAGTATAAGCAGCATCAAATTTTGACAATAACAATCTTATTGAGTGGCATAAGCCACGTGGTGACATACATACAATAGTTAGATGAGATCCACAAAAGTGGCGGGATCCACAACAGTGGGGTAAACTGTTGAGCCATGACTAGTGCATAGCATTAGCTGACCTAAGCAATGTCGTGCTCCAGGACCACCCAATAACTTGTAGTAATTAACCTTGTTAGTACAGATGCCCAACTTCTAGTTTTCTACTTGACAAAGCCACCTCTAATGTGTACCTGAAAAACCGGATGCATTCGAAATCAAATTTACTTCAGGTCCTAAGAACTACTACCATAGTTGTCAAATCGGGATTCGTATCATGAATCGAAATGGCCTCATACCAAATCACGAATCGAATCGTGAATCGTAAAGATTTGTAACTTTTTCTAAATTACTTAAAAATATATATATCTATACATTTAGATGTTAAATATATCTTATGAATACAAAATATTTAGATTTAAATCTATGAAAATGTTATTTTAAATGATAATCACATAGTTTAATAAGTAAGAAGTTAACAAAGGTTTCCATTGCCAATATGGGTAGAGGCCGATCCGGTGGTGGAATTGTGGGCGCCGGTGACCGAGAAAGATGGGGTTTCCGGGCCGAATATGGCAAGGACGGATTTTGGGCAAGTAGGGCAGGGTTTTTAGCCGAGATTGGGGGTGAATGAATATTTGCACAGATTTAGGAGAGAGGTGAGACCCATGGGTTTTCAGGGTAATATTTCCCAGCCTGTGGGGGCAGCGGTGGGCCATCTAATGGGGTCTAAGGGAGGGCAGTTGGGCTGGAGACAAGCCTAGGTACCTTATAACAAAGAAGTGGGCCAACATAGGTGGATTGTGGTCAAGAATAAGGGGACTCAATTGGGGGCCCAGGAAGTTAAGGGGCTAGGGTCTGTGGCCTATCAATCTAGCCCACAAGGGGATGGCTTTTCAAGCCCAACAGAGGGTGGTGATTTGGGCCTTTCTGGGCAGCTCAATAGTCTTGTAGATCCTTTTGTGGGTCGGTTTGAGGATGTGATGGGTTGTAGGGCTTCATGTGACCTACATCCAGGTGAGTCGGATCGGGTGGCTTTGATAGGGGCAGGTGCCCACCAGCGAGGATCTGAGTTGCCGTCCGGACTAGAGTTGGTGGTCCACTGTGCCCTATCAAGGATCGCGACTGGTAGTGGCGTCATAGAGTGGCTCTTCACAGTCGGCGGCCTCAGAGTCAGATGTGCTGGAGTTAGAGATGCCTCGCGATGCACCATCTGCTGATGAACTAGGGTCGCGACTGGTAGTGGAGTCGGAAAGAGGTACTTCACAATCAGCAACCTCAGAGTCGGTTGAGCGACAGTCCCACTTGGTGATAGAGATGCCTCGTGATGCGCCTTGGGATGACCAAGGTAGGAAGGGGCACAATAGTGATGGACAATCACAGGTCTTGGAGCTGCAGCTCTTAGCAGTGCAGGATAGTGAATTGGTCGCTTGTTTGAAACAAAAACAGAGGTTTGAGGATACTGGTGGATTATCGGGGAAGGAAATCCCTTCGGCTGAGGCTG